GGGTTGGGGAGTGGGTGAGGTCAGAGGGAGCGCGCGCGCTTCGGGGCCCCCCTTCTGTAAAGTCTTAGAAATCCCGAGTAAAGGTTCTCTGGGGTGGTGTGTGGGGGCTCCGAGTGGGGGATTTGAGTGGGTTTTACTTTTGTTTTGGGGACACTCCCGCTCTGCATTCCTCCCGCGATCTCCCGGGGTCGCCTGAGGTCTTGAGCTACATCCCAGGTTCGCTTTCGGACCCCGAATGCAATCACCATCAGCACCCTTACCTTTTCCACGTCACCTCTGACTTCAGCATTCAGAGAAAGGCTCCCACCTGGGCGGCCGGCTGCGCGGACCCCGTCTCCCCCTAAGGCAGGTGCGCAGCGTCCGGAGGGTCACTGAGGCTGGAGGCGCCGGCGACCCCTCTTCGCGCCAGTCCCCCCGGGCCCTGCTCGCTCTCGGGCTCCCTCTTGTGGGCCCTTATTTTCTCCCCACTGTCGTCTCGCAAACCCCGGTCTTTCCCTGAGGCCTTCGCTTCCCCTTTTTCGTTATTTTCCCTGCAAACCGTCCCGCCAATACATTCCCCGTCCGTCTCTGCAGGTTCACGGCCCGAGCAGGACGAGTCACTAAGCTGAGCGAGCGCGGGACAATGGGTGTGCAAAGGGGCCCTGGCTGCAGGACCATTTGGGGCCGTCCCTGCGCGGTGGTGCACGCGGTCGCCGCCGCCCCGGGTCGGGGACCGGAGACGTGGGGTGCGCACCTGTTGCCGGGTGGATTTCCTGCAGAGCTTGAATCTCCGCGAATCCGAGAGTGGGACCCTGTCCTTCTAGGCTTTTCTCACCCTGGAGACAGGCGGGGTCGCACCCTCCACTGCTCTTTAGGCGCTTAGAGGATGAACTGGGAAGCCTTAGCCTTGTAGACAGTGGGACCCTCCTTCCAGGGCAGGGCCCAGCTTCCTCTGTAGGTCTTGGTGGTGGTTCAAATGACTTTCTCGAAAATTACGCAGTCCGTTTCAGATCACTCCTTTTCACTCACCCACTACCCTTTTCAAGACAAAGGGGAGTGCGCAGAGGGAATGTAGAATTGCCTTTAATCCTAGAGCTCTGGATGAACAAGGGAAAAGCCTCTGCTCTGAAGAAGTTTGAGCCCCACCCTGTCCCTGGAGATCTTCGGACGTCAGGATTTCTCCACTCACATTGGGACTGTCCCAAGGACCCAAGCTTCCCACCATATTAGCACTAGAGGAATGGGGAGGGCTTTACCCTCAGCGCAGCGTCCTCCTCCCCCCACAGAGTAAGATCTACCCCAGACATCCCCCTCAGCTCCATGGTTTTTTTCATCAGTAATGAGTAGTCAAGGTAAAATCTTCTGGCCCTTTGCTCCCTACCTCCACACTTCTCCAGTGGCTGCCTTAAATCATCGCCCAAGTCCCACAGCTTGCACTTTACATCGCTGATGAGATGCTGGAGCTGCCCTGTGGTTCCCAGTCCCACAGCTGAGTCCTTCATAGCTTATTCTGTGTGTAACAACTGGTAAAGCCTGAAGAAAATTGAACTAGCCAAGATAATTTAGGAAAACTCCACTCGAGCTTGTCAGGCCTTCTGGAACTCTCATTTACAACTGGGTGTTGAGAGGGTGGATCCCTTTCTCTGTGCTGGTGGAGATGAAGCAGGGGAACACCAATGAATGTAGAATGGGAAGGTTTGGGGCAGTTGGGTGATTGGTGGGATCATTGCTCAAGAAAGGAGCAGGTTTGGGATTTGGGATGAATTCTGGTTTTGACACTTCAAGAATTGTGTTCCAGAGGAAAATTGTAGTGGAGATGTCAATGAAATCATTGCTTTGTGATAGGAGTTTTGCAGACATATACGGACTTGGTGTTAAGAACGGCACATAAAAGCACGCAGCATGCTGAGTTCATAGGCTACCATGAGAATATGCAGATCCCCAAGACAGAGAAAGCAGTGAAGGGGACTGAGAGGAAAACAGGAGTTTATGGTACCTGAAGAGAAGGAATGCCCAATGACTGAATAAGTGTGGTAAATGTAGGAACGAATTCTACAATGCAGACTCAGTTCAAGCATCCCTGACATGAAGGGATACCTGCCCTGGTGTTTCAGATACCACGTGCATGACAACTTATGGGGAAATCCTTGACATTTCCCAATCAATTTTTGTCCAGTTTCTGCAGAATGCAAGAGCGTAAGTGCTAATCTAGTCCAGTCTATGTGTCCGGAACAGTTCTGAGAGAGATTTTCCTCCCTGGTTCTTCTCCCTAACTACATTTTCTTTCAGTTTTCTAGGGAAGGGCCTGGGGAAGCCCTTCAGCTTTAATGTAGTAATTAGCAAGAGTCCTGTTTCCCTCACCCCCTGCCCCCACTCAGGTCTTACTATCTAGAGCAACAATGAATTCAATTCTAGGTCATGAAAAAGAGTTAGTGGAATTAATAACCAGAAGCTTTGTGTATCTGTTATATTTCCAGGATATAAAAGGCTGGTAAATTTGCCTAAACTTTACTCATCTTTTCAATACAACATTAGTCAGTGGGTTTATTTCTGGAATATAATGTGGGCTTAATATTAGGTAATTCAACAATACAAGTCCTAGTATTAATATAGCTAAAGAAAAATTACACTGATACAAGAGAGAAGTGATTTTTTAGAAGATTTTATTTATTTGAGAGAGAGAGCTTGAATAAGCGTGGGCACGGGTGGGAGGAGCGGCAGAAGGAGAAGCAGACTCACCCCTGAACAAGGAGCCTGAGGCAGGGCTTGGTCCCAGGATCCCAGGATCATAACCTGAGCCAAGGCAAACACTTAACTGACTGAGCCACCCAGGTGTCCCGAGAAGTGATTTTTTAAATAAAAAATAGACATCATGGGTTAAAAAGAACAGTAAAATAAGTAAGTAGGTGTTTTTTGAATAGGTTATAATTTATTTCAAATGCATATTGATCAGCATAATTTTAATCATTGCAAATCCTACTAGCTTCAAAGACAGAAGCAAGACAAGCATTTCACTATGATTTAACATTGTTCTGGATATTCCCAACCAACATATTTAGAAAGAGAAAGGAATTAAAAGTGTAAAAGTTGTAAATATTGCCATTATTTTTGAAACATTATCTACCTAGAAAATCAATTAATAATAATTCATTAAGGTGTCTTTTGTCTAAACACTCAAACCTTGTTTTCAGATAAAAATGATATAACTACTTGTAGGATACTAATATTCATGAGAACACAATAAGGACATAGCCAGTAATATATAGAGAAAAAAGAGTATAAATAGAAAACATTAGCCTTAAATAGATTTCCAAAAATGCCGATAAAATAGGTAATGAAAGCAATGTGGTATTGGGACAAGAATTCACAGAAAGGCCAATAGAAGAGATAGTGTATGCGTCTATATCTTTTTGTGTATCTATGTACTTTTTTAAAGATTTATTTATTTGAGAGAGACAGAGTGAGAGAAAGAGAGAAAGAGAGAGAGGAGTGGGAGGAGGGTCAGAGGGAGAGAATCCCCAAGCAGACTCCCCGCTGAGCATGAAGACTGTTCTGGGCTCCATCCCACTGCTTGTGAGATCATGACCCAAGCCTCAACCAACAGTATGCCCCTTAACCGACTGCACCACCTAGCGTCCCTATCATCTCTCTCTCTCTCTAACTCATCTATCTATCTGTCCTTTCATCCATCTGTCCTGGAAGTTAAAGCTGAGGCTCACTTGTACCTGGAGCAGCAGGAAGGAGTTGAGGCTTCTGCCAGGAATAAGTGCAGACAGCACCCAGAGCAGTGGTGCCCCAAAGCATAATCCCTTGATTCTATGGAGGCTCTCATTCAAGTGAAATTAGGAATTTTTTCAAAAATTAAAAAAATAAATACCATTCTTTTCTGTTTTCAATATTTTATTCATAGAAAAAATTAACCATTCACAGAAGTTTAGAAAGAATAGAAAAATGAAAACTGATCATCAAACCATTACAATGATCAACTCATGGCTACTCTTAGAGAATACATTTTTAAACTTAGTCAACTAAGTTTTAAAACCGAAACTATAGCAGCAAAATCATGAAGTTATATTCGTGGCTAAAATAAAATGTCACAAACATCGGGCCATATTAAGGGTTTTATGCTCCTTGCCATTATCTGGAAATATGGTGTCCATATCCATCACAGCCAGTGACATACTCCCCTTAATAAAAACAATTTTTTAAGCAATACTTCTGTCTTGACTTCACTGTTTTTATTTTTTGATATGAGTAAGACTCACAGAGATCTAAGAGTTAAATATACATACAAAAGAAGGAAATGAAAAGGTACAAGGAGAAGAGATCTTCCATTTGACATGGATGCCCTGGATGTTTGCTGGAGAGTTCTCTGTTCCACAAAATTCAAGTTGGAGTCTGAGTCAGAGGAGTCGCCTGAGGAAGATGAGCTGGAGCCACTGTCCTCAGACTCACAATCTTCATCTTCATCCCCACTGATGGAATCTGAGGAGTCACTGCCTTCCTCCCCTTCCTCACCTTCCTCATTTTCTCCTGATCCCCATGAGGCACGTGAATTGCCCCGAGTAGTGTCTGCTGATTCTGTCTCTGGAGCCTCCAGCCCGGACTCCTGTCCAAGCCCTTCTTGCAGACTCCTTGGTGACAGGGACTGCAGATCTGTCCGTCTGTTCTTGGGGTCTGGGCCTCCCCTCATGCTCATGTTTTTACACTTAGTATGGGTCGAGTCTCTGTACACAGCATATTCTTCAGGAGATAGACTCTTGAGCCAGTGATCCAGATCCAGCCTGTACTGTCTCTGCAGCTCCTCAGCCTGCTGCTTATAAAGCTCCTTCTGGCTCTGGGGGACTCGCTGCCAGCATCTGCTGATCTCCACCATGCACTCCCTCAGGGGCACATCTTGCAGCTCCTGACTTGACCACAAATCCCGGTGGAACTTCTTTTATCTGTTCATTGGGGGGCTTCTTGGGCTGTTCGTGGAATTTCATCCCCTTGGAAAAATAGGTTTCAGGGGGAGACTTCACTCCCTGCCCATGACTCTGAAACTTCTTTGGGCCTTTGTTTGGGTTCCACTTGGTTACATCCAATTTCTTAGAGTTCTGGAATAGATCAGTGGTCTGTCTTGAACTGAGCCAGTTGCTTCTCAAACTCCTGTTTATCCTTCTGAAAATCATGAACATATTTGAGCCTTATCTGCTCTGGCAGCTCCTTGTATTCCTCAGACAGGAGCTTGGTCAGCTCCTGGTTGCTCAGCTTGGGATATTTTTGGGAGTACTGGGACCGCTTCTCCTTGAAGAAGGGAAGGAAAGCAGTCAGGGTCTTCTTGGGCAAGTTTGAGTGTTTCTTGTGTCTTTTGCTTCTGTAGGGCTTTTCAACATGTTCCTTAGCTTCCAGAACTAATTCTGTGAGAAATTTTCACATGCGATAAGAAATCTCCAGCCATTTGAGTTTGCACATTTCTCCAGAATAATTCTTAAAAGCTACTTTTCCCCAGTCCATCTGTGACTGGGTTGTTCTGAATGTGTGGCTGTCATTAGATGGAAGATTCGTCTCCATGCATTCCAGTAACATCACAATATCTTCTTTGGACCAGTCATCTTGGCCTCTAGGCAATGACATATCTAGACCTTGGGCCACTTGTATGGTCCTAGCAGTTGAGACACCTCAGCAGCAGCCCAACTTCTTTACTCTCCAGACTCAGCACGTGAATTATTCTTGGAAGTCCTACAGTGTTTATGTTTCTGAGGAGAAAGAGAAGAAATGAATGAGAAAATCACAACCCACTTGGAATATGTCCCCTGTATAATTTAACCACATTTAACAATGTAAATAGAAAATTGCCTACCTCTGGGTTGCAATTTATGTTTACATTTTTAAAGATTGAGAGAGAGGGAGAGTGGGGGAGGGGCAGAGGGAGAGACTCTTTCAATAGACTCCCCACTGAGTGGGGAGCTTGATGTAGGGCTCACTATCCTGAGATGATGACCTGTGCAGAAACCAAGAATCGGATGATTAACTGACTGAACCACCCAGGTGCCCCTATGTTTATGTTTTAGATGTTTACGTTTGTACTTTTCAAAATCGTCTTCCTAACTCCAGCCTGCCTTCTCACCAGAGCCAGCTAAAATGGCGCTGAGTGAGACCAACAAGCGGCCTCTGTCTAAGGAGACTCAAGGTAAGAAACAAGTCCTAGGGAAGGAAGGTAAAAAATTAAAACAAAAGCGAAATGAGTGAAAGGGAAAGGACCACTGCTCTCTAGGGCCTTGAGCATGGCTACCTTCCAAGTGAAGTTCAGGGGTCCGTGACTGAAGGTGAGATTGGACACAGGGATAAGCCGGGGAGCTTCTCCAGACACACGTTGCACTGTGGTCTTTTATGAGTGAGACCTGAACCTGTGGTAAATTCCTGATTTGCTTGGATTCTCCTGGGCCCTGTGCAATGGAATGAATGCTTTCTAATGAACCATACTGTTTCTCCCTTCAAATGTCAAAGATCAAGTGAGAATATCAGAACATTTGTGATTTCATTCTGGTAACTGTTCCTCATCTTTAAGCCTCAGTCCCTTTTACCATACTACAACGAGGTTTTCCAATTAAGTTTTAGGGCCAAGCCACATATAAAAGTACATGAAATCTAGAACATTGCCTCTAGATATCCCAATTTGCATATATAAGGAACATAAAATAGAGTTAATAAACATAAATTTGCAAATATCAAAACAATAACAGATTAAAATTTAATAGCTCAAGAGTAAACTGGAAAGACTGACATAATTATTGTTAACTCGCTATAATATAACTGCTTAGGAATGTCTTAAGCCTGCTGACAGTTAATTTTTTTTTAAAGAAAAAAGAAAGAACTCTTTTACTTACAAGTGTGTGCTCACCTAATGAATGCGTAATTGGTCTCACCGATGCTTATAGGAAGATCCGCCCAATTGGGTCAGGAGTTCTGTGTTCTCTGGGCTCTCTGTACTAGAAGACATCTCGACTTTCTGACTTCCCACAGTCCAGCCAATTCAAAGGCCTCCACACAAAACAAACTTACTTTGCCTTTGCAAAGCCTTTATATTGGGATCCCTAAGCTCCGCCCTGATTAGATTTCTGCTGTAGGCAGGACCAGAGGAAGATGTACCTTTCTGACCTTGAATAGAATAATCCCATTCTCAATCTCCAGATACAATATAGTGCAATTACCCTTCTGTTTTTTCATTCATCCTGGTGTTATTTTTACACAACATGCAGGGGAAATTTTTGTGTTTCTTGGTTCCCACATTCTACTCTCATTCCCACTCCAACATCTGACTATCTTTCAATGTGATATTTGAATATAGGTCCAACCTTTGGTGTTAATTTCAGTCCTGCCTTGTGGCCTAGGATCTGATACTCTCTCCTCTTCAGGATGGCCATTTAAATCCTTTCAGTTTTGTGCCTTTTCCCTTAGTCTCTGGAAGTTAAGGTGACATTTGATATCAAAATGTGAATGATTATATTTAGTTCGGGGTTTAGGGAGATGAGATGTGTAAAAATGATTTCGTGAAAGCAATGTGATCAAAGTCAAATTGGCTCTCAGGAGATCAGGTTGGAAATGATGACTTAGTTTTTGACAATATGAGGCTTCTCAATTTTTTTTTTTTTTTTAAATCTGCTTTCTGAGGCATCTGGGTGGCTCAGTCGGTGAAGTGTCTATCTTTCCCTCAGGTCAAGATCCCCGGGTACTGGGATCTAGCCCCGCCTAGGGCTCCCTGCTAATGGGGAGTCTACTTATCCCTGCTCCTCCCTCCCCACTTCATGCTTCCGATCTGGCTTACCTGCTCTCTCTCTCTCATATAAATAAATCTTTAAAAGAAAAAGAAAAAATCCACTTCCACCTCTCTTTAAGATGTTTATTTCTAAGTAATTTCCAATGAGTAATTTATTCTCTGAATATATCTAGCAATGGGCCGTTACCAACAAACCATAAATTAATGAGATGTTTCAATGATTAGATTTGTAATACAGTATGTAAATATGAATTAATTTTGGATTGTTCAACTTATGCATACACATAGACACAGCCAAAATTGTACTTATTACTTCTTTCTTATTACTTCTACATCAAGCATTGCTTGTAGCTCTATTTGTTCAGTGAACACACAATTTACATAAGAGGAGTTCTTGCTACTTTCCCGAATTGAAACAAACACAGTATCATATATTTAATTTATCAGCAAACTGAGGTTGTTTCTGTGAAATCATCTCATTTGCCAAACTTAAAAAATGACTCCATTACTTCCACCTTATAATAACAAGCTATTTTGTCATCTGGTCTTACTATATATATTTGGAATAATTTGATGATTGAGTTTTGGTCTGATGTTTTATGCATTCCTTGGCTGTTTCTATAAATTATAAAGACTCAGAAAGTAGTTTCCAGGTGTCATAATTTTTACTTTGTGTAGACTGTAAAATGACTTAGGAATATCTTATTTTCTTTGTATAAATATATTACATCCTATTCTACAAGTGGTACTATGTGAGTATGTCAGAGGAAATATTTGACAATTTATATGTAGATAATGCTTTGAATAATTTGGAAAAGAACTTGTATTTGACTGTTGGGAAATGATTTCAGAAATGTCAGTTTCCTGACATAAAGTTAGAGATAGCAACAGTGAATGGGCTTGCAGAAAGCAACACTGGTAACTGTGCAGAAATGTCAGAAATTAGGGCGCCTGGGTGGCTCAGTTGGTTAAGCGACTGCCTTCGGCTCAGGTCATGATCCTGGAGTCCCTGGATCGAGTCCCGCATTGGGCTCCCTGCTCGGCAGGGAGTCTGCTTCTCCCTCTGACCCTCCCGACCCTCTCCCCTCTCACGTGCTCTCTCTCTCAAATAAATAAAATCTTTAAAAAAGAAATGTCAGAAATTAGAGGGACAGTGCGTTCATTAGTCTAGAAATGAGGACTGAATGAATGTTTTTTACAAAACAAAATTTCAAAAACACAATACGTTTTCTTGTGCTGATTGTTATTCCATGATAGTTAAACCTTTTCACCATGAAAAGGAAGGCTTGATAACAGTTCCAAAGGACCTGAGAACATGCTGCTATTCTCTTCTCCTTAATGATTGTTTTTAAATGCAGGTGTGTCTATGATAAAGATAGGAGGGCAAATTAAAAAACAGTATATTCATGTAAGAAGATTCTGGTTGAAATCTGGTCCAATTTTACAAAGTTTAATCCCATTAACTCTCATATATTCAGAAACTGATTTCAGTGAAGGATTCTGTTTGAAATAAAGAACATCAAAGGAGAAAATTTAGTTTCATGACTATGTCTTATGTGTGCACATTTTTGTGCATTTTAATCAACGGGTTGCAATAAAGACATTTTTCAGGATCATGGATGAGGGACAGAAGACATGCAGATCAGTGGCATTGTATATATTTCTTTATTTTGCCAATTAAAAAATTTATTATCTCTCTTTTTTAAAGGTTTATTTATTTGAGAGCAAGAGAGAGAGAGCACGAACAGGGGG